GAAAGAAAGAAAGAAAGAAAGAAAGAAAGAAAGAAAGAAAGAAAGAAAGAGAAAGACTATTTGACTAGCCACAGAACATCTCTTGAGTTAGCGTGCTTCAGTTTACTTAACCTGATGTTGGCATTTTGAGTGTTTCTCCTTTTTCAGGCTACCTGAATAATTAGATGCATAACCTTTGTCCATGGTGGAAATTGTTTCTTTAGAGGAGGTGGAGAAATGAGTTTAGCCGGGTCAGAGTATGAAATGCCGGGAGCCTCACCCCACTGAGGTCAGCGTCTCCAGAATTGAATGCTATCCTTCACCCTCACTTTAAAGCAAGTATTTGTGCACCAGCCCATGGGGAGATTTGGAGCCCTTGATCCTGAGTGGGCCTCTGCGTGGGCCCTGTCGTGTGGGCAGCCAGTGGCCTTGCCTGTGATTTGAAGCTGGCAGGCAGGGCCCAGTTCTCTCCAAGAACGCAGCTACGTGAGTGTGGGACTGCCCCTTGGCCAGAGGCTATTTTAAGGTAATTTCGGCCAGGGCCACCTGGGTGGCTCAGTCAGTTAAGCATCCAACTCTTGATTTTTGTTCAGGTCATGATCTCACAGTTCTTGAGTTCGAGTCCCATGTCAGACTCTGCACTGTCCACTCGGAGACTGCTTAGGATTCTCTGTCCCTCCCTCTGTGCCCCTCCCCTGCTCTCTCTCTCTCTCTCTCTCAAAATAAATAAATAAACTTTCAAGAAAAAGAAAAGATAATTTTGGCCAGCATTTTAAAGTGAGGTGATTTCCCACTAAAAGCTGCATTTCCCTTTTCAAATTTGGAAGCCCTGGCTCCCTTGGCCCAAGTTCCTGCTCTGAAGTGACAGTAAGGGCTGACCGACCCTTGGCCAGCTGGACAGGTTGACTTCAGTGGCCACCATGCCCCCCTCCCTTTTGGGTTATCAGAAACAAGTGTCCATTTAGAATCAGGCGTGCACTGTTGATTTCCTTGCCAAAGGAAATACATCTCTGGACCCACATCGATCAAAATTAGAATAAAACATCAACATGTAAGGAGTCAGGTGATCTTTCTAACATTGCTCTTCTCACACTCAACCCATTCCACTTCTGAAGGGCTGCAGCCAGCTCCTTGATCAGACTGCTCTCCTAAGCCCTGCTCTGGGTAGAAATTCCGAAGCCACCACTGCCTCTTAATGCCCTTTTCCCCATGTTTTTTTCAAATATAATTCACATGCAATAAAACACATCCTTTGTGCTGTATAGCTCTGTGGGTTTCACCAAACACACAGTCATGTAGTCACTGCCAAAATTGAGGCACAGCCAGACACCCGCATTCACAGCAGCACCGTTCAGTTGCTGGGAAGGTGGAAGAAACCAGAGTGTCCATCAGTGGATGGAGAAATAGATTAACAAAGTGTGATCTATCCATGCAGTAGAATATTACTGAGCTCCTAGAAAGGAAGGGCATTCTGACACCTGGTACAACGTGGATGAACGCTGAGGACATGATGCTCAGCGAAAGAAGCCAGCCACCAAAGGATAAATGCTGTGTGATTCCACTTTATGAGACACCCGGCGTTGTCAGACTCACAGAGCCAGAGAAGTAGAGGGTGGTTGCCGGCGCTCGGGGGAGGAGGGAACGGGGAGTTAGTGGTTAATGGGAACAGAATCTCAGTTTTGCAAGATGACAAGGTTCTGGAGGTGGATGGATGGTTGCACAACAATATCCTTAACACTACTGAACTGGATGCTTAGAAATGGTTCAGATGGTGGGCGCCTGGGGGGCTCAGTCAGTTGGGCATCCCACTTCCACTCAGGTCGTGATCTCACTGTTCAAGAGTCCAAGCCCCGCGTCGGGCTCTGTGCTGACAGCTCAGAGCCTGGAGCCTACTTCAGATTCTGTGTCTCCCTCTGTCTCTTCCCCTCCCCTGCTAGTGCGCTCTCTCTCTGTCTCTCTCTCTCTCAAAGATAAACATAAAAAATAAATAAAAAAGAAATGGTTAAGGTGGTGAGGCGCCTGGGGGCTCAGTCAGTTGAGCATCCGACTTGATTACAGCTCAGGTCATGATTTCACAGTTCAGGAGTTTGAGCCCCGAAGCAGACTCTGCTCTGACCATGCGGAGCTTGCTTGGGATTCTCTCTCTCCCTCTCTCTCGGCCCCTCCCTTGCTTGCACGTGCGCATTGCCTCTCTCGCTCACTCTCTCTCTCTCTCACTCTCTCTCAAAAATAAATGAACTTAAAAAAAAAAGAAATGGCTGAGTTGGTTAAAATTTTATGTTACCTGTTTTTTCTTTTAACCACAATTTTTAAAAATATCCAAACAGCAATTCATCACCCAGACATTACCCCAAGCCCATTTGTACTCAGTCCCACCCTAGCCCCTGGCAGCCAGGAGCTGTTGTCTGTCCCTATAGTTTTAGCTTTTTCAGAATGTCCTATGAAGGGGATCATACAGTGTGTACTCTTTTCCTTTTTTTAATGTTTTATTTTAATTTTTGAAAGAGAGACAGAGCGTGAGCAGGGGAGGGGCAGAGAGCGAGGGAGACACAGAATCCGAAGCAGGCTCCAGACTCTGAGCTGTCAGCACAGGGCCCCCGCGGGGCTGGAACTCATAAACCCTGAGATCGTGACCTGAGCCGAAGTCGGACGCTTAACTGACCCAGGAGTCCCCAGTGTGCAACTCTGATTCTGGGCGCTTTCACGCAGAATCGTGACCTTGAGACTCCCGTGTTTCTCCACGTCACCGCGTGTCAGTGGATTGGTCGGTTCCGTCGCTGACTGGTGTTCCGCAGTGTGCAGGGACCAGTTTACTTATCTTTCCCCCAGCAGAGGGACATTTGGCGCAAATAAAAATAAAATCCACTGTAAACATGCACGTACGTTCACGGCTTTGTGTGGACGTGTGCTTCCGTTTTGCGTGGGTAAATACCTCGGAGGAGAACTGCCCAGTGATGGGTGTGTGTGTTCATCGTTGTAAGAAACAGCCCTGCCAGCTGCCTCCCAGAGCCAAGCTTGGTTCCCTCCGGCTGTGACCGGGTTTCTGGTGGCCCTGCTCCCTCACCCATTCCTCCTGTCGTCCACTTTTTGTTTTTTAGCCATGATGATGGGTGGGCTGTTAAAATGATCATTACAGTTCGATGATAATATTATAATTATAAAATTCTAACTGAATTCTAATTCACAGGAAGTTGCAAAAAATAGTACGACGTGTATCCCCCACCCCCCCACCCCTGTCCCCCAGTGGTAGTATCTGTAACTGCAATGCGATATTGCAACCAAGAAATGTCTCCGTCTGGGGCGCCTGGGTGGCTCGGTCGGTTGAGCGTACGACTTCGGCTCAGGTCATGATCTCACGGTCCGTGGGTTCGAGCCCCGCGTCAGGCTCTGTGCTGACAGTTCAGAGCCTGGAGCCTGCCTCGGATTCCGTGTCTCCCTCTCTCTCTCTGCCCCTAACCCACTCACATTCTGTCTCTAACTCTCTCAAAAATAAATAAACATTAAAAACAAAAAAATTTAAAAAAAAGAAAGAAAGAAAGAAAAATGTCTCAGTCGTCTTTTACACCCAGAGCAAGCCCAGGGGATTTCTCAGGAGAGTGCGGGGAGGTCGGCCGATCCCACCCCCTAGGAAACACCGTGAGCCTGTGTGAACACCCCCGCTGTGAAAAGCTTGTTTGGTCTTTGGTCACCTGTAGTAGCCGGAGAAGTCACCCTCGGTGTCCTACCTTTTTGCAGAGCACTTTCATTAACAGACCTGCCCTCGGAATCCTTCCCCCGGAGAACTTTGTGGAGAAGCTCCGGGAGTCCTTGCTCTCGGTGAGTCCCCAGGAGCAACCCCATCCTCACCCCCCACCCCCTGCCCTCCAGCCCTGCGGGAAGGCCAGCCGATCTCGGGGAGGCAATGCCAGCAGGGGGAAAGGAAAGGACCGAGATCCATAAGGGGAGAGGATGCCATGTGTCTGCTTGGGTCTTGTTCTTGTGCTGTTTCTTTCCTGAAGAGTATTTTCACTTTTCCTTTCAAAGGAAAGGAAGGGACTCCTTGTGCGCAGGAACAAAGGATCCAGGGGAAATGAATATTTGCTCCACGATAGGAGCATTGCGTGTGATTCAACCCTCCCCGACGGTTCGGTTTTAGTTGTTATGACGATTCAAATCCTTCTGAATCTCAACTTCCTACCTGTAAAACATGGGCACCTCGGGGGATGGCGGTTGCACCAGGCAGGACAGTCTGGGCTTTTCTTCATGCTTTTCTCCTCCATCCCCTCCAGCCCCGGGGCCATCCTGGGCTTGTCCTCCACCCCCTGGAAGAGCCTCCGTCCACTCTCCCCAGTCCCGCTGCTCTGGGGGACGGTCCTGGTTCCCCCCCACCCCTGCCCAGCCTCCCCCAGCCCAGACTGTACCCCTGCAAAGGCTCAGCTCTGGCTTGGGCCACGCGGGCGTCCAGATGGAGCGAGCCTACAGCCGTTTCCCCCCCTGCAGGTGGCCCCCAAAGGAATGTCCCAGCTCATCACCATGTCCTGCGGCTCCTGCTCCAACGAAAATGCCTTTAAGACCATCTTCATGTGGTACCGGGTGAGGTTTGGGGCATGAGCATGTGCACACACATGCACGCACACACACGTGCACACGCGCCCAGCCCCCAGCCACACGCTCACCCCTTGTCCAGCTGTTCACCCCGCCTGGCCACGGTCAAAATCCAGAGAGGGCCACCGCCTGGACAGGGCTCTCCAGACGGCCCCTGGGGTGTGGTGCAGAGAGCCGTCACCCGATGCGACGACACGGGTTTTCTTCGGCATCACAGACCCCATCCTAGCAGCCCTGGGTTGTTGTGGACAGAGTAATAGCACACCTGTGTATTCGTGTACTTACTTTGCTGCAAGTGTGCTGAACAATCTCATGTGTTAGTACCTAAGCGGAATGGTCGGCATCTCCAGTCAGTCTTGAGAAGCACTTGTGGGGGTTCTGAGTGCAAAGTGGAAGCCCCACGTCCCCCCGGAGCGACTCAGATTTTGTCTCTTCTGTTTTGTCAGAACAAGGAAAGGGGCCAGACGGGTTTCTCCAAAGAGGAGCTGGAGACGTGCATGATCAACCAGGTAAGGGCAGCGGGCCCTTTGGTCTCAGCCGCGGGGGTCAGTCACCACAGTCCCTCCAGCTGGCCCTGGCTGACCCTGGCCTTCTCAAATAGGAGGGGTCTCACGCAGCTCGGTCGGTGCCGGTAACCAAATTCTGCACCCAGACTGGGCGGCTTACACGACAGACATGTATTTCCTCGCGGTTCGGGAGGCTGGAGTCCAAGGTCAAGGTCAATTTGGTTCCCTGGGGCACGCTCTCTGCCTGGCTTGTAGACGTTGCCTTCTCGCTGTGTCCTCACGTGTGCAGGAGAGAGAGCGAGAGAGCAGGAACTCTGGGGTCTCTTCCTGTAAGGACACTGATCTCATCACAGGGGCCCCACCCTATGACCTCATCCAACCCTCGTCACCTCCCAGAGGCCCCTCTTCCAAACACCATCACACTGAGGGAGAGGGCTTCAAAGTGGAAAAGACACAGTCTGTCATACCGAGGGGTCCATTCCCCTCATGTCAAGGCTGAGGGGAGCCCTTCCTGACCAGCACTCCTCAGTTTCCCAGGACAACTGCCTGACTTGGACTGTTTAAGGAGCCTTTAGTGTATTCTCTAGAATAATTCAAAATGTCAACACAAAGGTATGTACCAGGGTGTTCACCCCACTCGTGTTTATAGTCGTGATAACCAGAAAAGATTGGAAACCCGTCTTTACAGCCAGTAACAGGGAAAGAGGACTTAAGTGTAGGGGTTCCACATGGAACCCTAGCAGTTCACAGAGGCAGCAAGGCGGCCAATGCCGGAGGCGAGGGGTCGAGGTGGGTACATCCCAAGCTCACCAGCCAGCAGGCCTGTCCTCCCCCTTTCAGCGAGGACCCCTCCCCCCCTTATGATTTAGACAGAAATGTCTGCTGCTCAAAAAAAAAGAATCAAGAGCCACTGAACTCAAGTACCCCCCTGCATACATCCACAGTATTGTGCAGAAATAGTCACAGAGGGTTTTTCTTGGCCTGGAGACACGCATGCCGTAATTTAGTGAAAACGGGAGAATGTAAATTACACGGGCGCTGTGCTGTCAACCATGTAAATAAGTGCACAGATTACTGGAAGAAATCCCGCTCACATGTTTACAGGCCTTGCCTCTGGGCGGTAAGATTGTTTTTTTTCATGCTTCCTTAAATGTTTTTGTTCCTAATCCACCTCTTGCGGGCAAATCTACCCAGCCCTTTCTCTCTGTTCATACAAACCTCCATAAACTTAAGTATTTTCTTTTTTTTCTTCTGACCATCTTTAAAAACAGTAGACGGTGCCCTCCCTCCTTCTCATCTGATACCCACGGACATCCTAGTCCATCAGCACTTTTAGACCCCATTCCTCATGTTTAGTGGCTGCATCAGGGGACAAACAAGGAAAATGATAGGGGGGGTATCCCAGAGTTTACTGGGGCTGGGGGTCCTGGTGCTTCTCCCGGGGGCATCTCAGGGACCTAGAGGAGATCAGTCAGCCTGAGAAAACACTACGTGAGCCTCCCAGCGACTCTGGGCCCCGTAGTTGCCTCTGCGGTGGTGTCTCTGGTAGTGTGCCTGAAGCAGCTGAAAACCCATCTCATTCCCTGGCCAGGTGGAGGGTCAGGAAATAATGCAGCTGTGCCATTCGCTGGGGAGTCCCTGCGTCCCTCCTGAGCCCAGAGGCAGCCGCTCCGGCCCCAGCCCCACAGACCCTTTCCAAAGCCCTGGGGCATTTCCAGTGAGACGGCTGGTCCGGCCTCCTGTCCCAGGAGGCACCAGGCCCACCTGGAGCAGGGAAGTCAGGGCAGTCTGCAGGAGGAGGAGTTTGCAGAGCCCATAGACAGGCTGAAAACTCAACAGCCCCAGCAGGGCCGAGAGATGGGGGCCGAAAACTCAACAGCCCCAGCAGCCCAGGCAGGTGACATCAGGGCAGAAGGCAGGTGTCAGGCCCTGGGGCAGCCCGGCTCGCCCAGCCTTTGTGTTTGACTACAGTGGGCCCAAATTATGTGGAATTAGTGAGAAGGCAGAAGTTTGGAGAGTTCAGTGAAATCTCTTGATTAAAAAAATTGGGGGGCACCTAGGTGGCTCAGTCAGTTGAGACTCCGACTCTTGATTTCAGCTCAGGTCATGATCTCACTGTTCCTGAGAACAAGCCCTGAGTCAAACTCTGCTGACAGTGCAGCCTGCTTGGGATTCTCTCTCTCTGCCCGTCTCCTACTCACATTCTCTCTCTCTCTCTCTCTCTCTCTCTCTCTCTCTCTCTCACAAATAAGAAAAACATATACATATAAAAAATTAAATTAAAATTAAAAAAAAAAATTTACTGGAGCACCTGGCTGGCTCAGTCAGTAGAACATATAACTTTTGATCTTGGGGTCGTGAGTTCAATAAGCCCCATGTTGGGTGTGGAGCCTACTTAAAATTAACAAAAGAAAAAGTGAAAAAAACTTTATTGGCAAAACAGAACGTCTGTGGGCTGGATGTCTTGGGACCTGGTGTGTAACTTGTCCGTGCGAAGGGACTGAGGTTCTTCTGATGGACTTCTGTGGGTGTGTGGGGACCGCAACACGGTCCTCCAGTCCTCACAGCGGTGACTGATGTGACCACTGTCTCTTGGTCCTAGGCCCCCGGCTGCCCCGAGTACAGCATCCTCTCCTTCATGGGCGCGTTCCACGGGAGGACCCTGGGTAAGGAGGGAGCAGCGTGACCCCGAGGTGGCTGTTAGATAAGAGCAACCACAGTAGGCGGCTTCGATCTTCACCTTGGCAGTTTCCACCTAGCGTCTCTCACGGACTCCACACTATTCTGTGCGGGGGGAGGATTGTTAGTCCTGCTCTGCAGACACGGAAAGGGAGGCCCAGCAAGGAAGGAACATTCTAAGGCCGTCTAGGGGCAGAGCCAGATTCGAACCCTGGCCCTGTGCCTTCACAGCCCGTGCTTAATCTGTGATGAATCAGAAAGTCAAGGGCGCACGCACGCACACACAGGTTCACGGGGTCAGCTTCGGGACGTTACAGGAGCCGCAGGCAGCGGCTTCCCTGGGCGTTGCGAGACGTGGCCTGAATTGCCCGTGATCCCCTTTTCCAAGGCTGTTCCTCCTGCTTCCCTAGGGTGCTTAGCGACCACGCACTCCAAGGCTATTCACAAGATCGACATCCCTTCCTTCGACTGGCCCATCGCACCGTTCCCACGGCTAAAATACCCTCTGGAAGACTTTGTGAAAGAGAACCAGCAAGAAGAGGCCCGCTGTCTGGAAGAGGTAACAGCGGACCCTGCAGATTTCCCCTCCCTGTCTCCTTGCCCCCGGCCCCCCACCACCGCCACAAGGCCCAGCTCAGGGGAAGAAGAACACAGGGTTTATGTGGGACCCGCGTGGGGCTCCCTGGGAGGGTCGCAGGGACAGAGAGGCACATCAGGAGAAGTAAGGGGGCCCCTTGATTTTTCCACCTGGCGTCCGTCACCCCACCTGTGGTACTGATGTCTGTGTTTGGGTTTCTTTGGGGGCAAGCTTCACTGACTGCAGAAGAGGAGGGAATTTATGAGAATATGAGGCAGCCCGTAGGAAAAGTGCATCCACAGGACCCTGTCGTCCACTGCTTCTCAGCCAAGTCCTGGGGCTCCCTGGGGGCTGAAGTGGGGCCAGGGGAGGGACTGGGGACAGGGAGCCCCCTCTTGCCATGCCTCAGACACAGCTGTTCCAAATATTGGGGTTCCGTGTTAGACACTGGAGGATTCCGTTGGCGGGGAAAAGACATTGGAAACTCTTCAGGTCTGGAATTTGAGTTCAGGTGAGGCTGGTTTGAGGCTGGTTCGCCTCTTAGACACATCATCATCCTTTTCAATCAATTCATGGTTAACACATACAGGGGGTCTAGTACAGACCTGTTGAACAGAGATGTAAACCCCATGTGTGACTGCAGTGTGTCTAGTAATCACATTTTTGAGAAGTGAAAGGAGGGACACCTGGGTGGCTCAGTCGGTGAAGCGTCCAACTTCAGCTCAGGTCATGGTCTCGCGGTCCATGAGTTTGAGCCCCATGTCCGGCTCTGTGCTGACAGCTCAGAGCCTGGAGCCTGTTTCAGATTCTGTGTCTCCCTCTCTCTCTCTGATCCTCCCCCATTCATGCTCTGTCTCTCTCTGTCTCAAAAATAAATAAACGTTAAAAAAAATTTTTTTAAGGTGGAAGGAAATGGGTAAAATTGATTTTAATAACATTTTATTTTTTTAACATTTATTTATTTTGAGAGAGAGAGAGAGTATGAGTGGGGGAGGAGCAGAGAGAGAGAATGCCAAGCAGGCTCTGTGCTGTCAGTACAGAGCCCGACGTGAGCCTTGATCTCATGAACTGCGAGATCATGACCTGAGCTGTGATCAGGAGTCGGACGCTTGGGGCACCTGGGTGGCTCAGTCCGCTAAGCATCCGACCTCGGCTCAGGTCATGATCTCGGGTTCGTGGGTTCGAGCCCCGTGTCAGACTCTGTGCTGACAGCTCAGATTCTGATCAGATTCAGCTTCCGATTCTGTGTCTCTCCCTGTCTGTGCCCCTTCCCCGCTCGCACTGTCTCTCTCTCTCTCTCTCTCTTTCTCTCTCTCTAAAATAAGCAAACATTTTTTTAAAAAGGTGCTTTTCTGAGTACCCTGTCACTGTTTAGTTAATTATTTTTAATTCACTAACACATCACTTATCTACCACCAAGTGCACTCATTTCAGTGTCTAGTTCAAAAAGCTTTACCAAGCAAATATACCCATAGAACTACCACCCTGATCAAAGGCCTCTTATCACCCCACAAAATACCCTCAGGTCAATCCAAGGTTCAACCCATGACCCCCACCCCCTACCCCGCTCCGTGACACGACCGATTAGATTCCTATCATAAGAGGTGCCTTTTGCAACAGTTCTTTTGAGCAAATACATGCCTCAGATTCTGCACAGAAAGAACTCTCCCGCCGACAGTAATGTCACACTAAGGATACAGCGATGGCATTACCAGCAACGGCCACAGCTACGCCGTCCTGCACGCCGGACCCCATGCTGCATGGTTTCATTCATTCGCTCTGTGACCCGAGCCCTTAGTTTCTGTCCCACAGGTGCAGCAGCAGGCCCAGGTAGGGCACACTGCCACCCACAGGGGCGGCCCCGAGTGGACACCACAGTCCTCACCGGAGTGCACACGAACACATACTCAGCATCGTTTCAGGGGGTTGTGGAACCCACATCCCCATCCGCGGATGCTGCTCTAGGGCTCCCGCCAGCTGTGGTTACTTCCCCCTTGGGAATGCAGGTAGAGGATCTGATCGTAAAATATCGGAAAAAGAAGAAGACGGTGGCCGGGATCATCGTGGAGCCCATCCAGTCCGAGGGCGGAGACAACCACGCATCTGATGACTTCTTCCGGAAGCTGAGAGACATCTCCAGGAAGGTCAGTGCACAGGGCCGGGGCTGGATGGGGCCATGGGCTGTTTCCAACGGTTTTCCCAGAGCAAAGTGTTAGCCGCGGGGTCCTTGTACACGTGCAGGTGGTCAGAGGCTGCCTGGTGGCCTCACAGGTAGAGGCATCGGAAAGTAGGGAAGGAGGAAGGGAGGGAATTTCTCCTTAAAATCTCACTGCAGAATCAGCCTCCACCCTGCAGTGCTAGCTGGGCACTTTCCCACTCAAGAGATGCCTGGGAAGACCTCAGCCTCCTCCCTGTTCTCTCTAGAGAGCCCACCTCATCTCTCAGCCACACCCAACAGACGCTAGTGAGCACACGTTGTTGCTTCCGTGTGTGTATTTCAGTTTGTCGTGCACACGGAACGGGCACGTCCGGCCGGTAAGATGGGAGCTGCTCTCAGCACAAGTGCTCAGGAACTAGCATTCAGGGGGGGTGACAGAACTGGCAGACAGGACAGCCGGGGCCCGGGAGGCACGTCTCGGCCTCTCGGCTGGGACAGCAGGCCGGCGGAGGGAGTCAGCTGGCCAACTCCAGCCTGAGCCGAATGCAGTGTCGCTGTGCTCTGGGGTTCAGGGCGTACCTGACGTCACGGTACTGTTCCAGCTCAGCAGTCTGAGGACAAGTTGAAACTCAGACCTCAGAGCTGCCCGGTCTCGCTTCACACGGCCCCGGAACGGGGGCTTGGTCACAGAGGCGGGCTGGGTGCGGGGTTCCGGGCTGATTGGCGGTAGTGGGTGTTGACTTCCTTCTTCTCTCCCATCTTGGTCAGCACGGCTGCGCCTTCTTGGTGGATGAGGTCCAGACAGGAGGGGGCTGCACTGGCAAATTCTGGGCCCACGAGCACTGGGGCTTGGCTGACCCGGCGGACGTGATGACCTTCAGCAAGAAAATGATGACAGGAGGCTACTTCCACAAGGAGGAGTTCAGGCCCAACGCCGTGAGTAGCAGCCCTGCCTTCGTCTTCTCACTCAGGACTGCTCCCTTCTCCAAACCAGGAGCTGAGTAGACACCAGACGGGTCCCTGAGGTCTCCTGACGCCCGCTGTTTACCAGTGTAACTAGCCAGCGGTAGTGGTCGCCCAGCTCTCTGCAGGGAGGCTTCCTAGCAGCCCACTGTCCGTCTCCTGATTTCCCTGTGCACCTACAATGATAGAGCTCATCGATGCTGCTGTGGACCGAGCATTTGCTATGTCCTGGCCCAGTTCTAAGTAGTCCTCGTGTACTTGTAACCCTCACAACAGTCTAACCAAGTAGATGCTATTTTCTCTCTCCTAGTTTAGTAATGAAGACTCAGGCACAGAGAGGTTAAGCAAGTTGTCCCAGGTCACACAGCCTGTTCGGTGACAAAGCTCAAACCTGGAGCCCATGCTCTAAACCACTACACTGCACTGCCAGATATACATAGGGAGTCACACACACACACACATACACACACACACACACACACGCACAAACACACAGTTACCAGGGCCCTGGGATCCTTTCTTCTACCAATCCTGCATGTAGTTTCCCCCATCAAGATTGCCTCATGATCCACAATCACTGCTGGAGCTCTGGCCATCACATATCAATTCTAGGCAGTAGGAAGGAAACAGGAAGGAAGGACAAAGTAGCCCCCTTCTTGTCTTTATAAAGCAGCCTTCCCAGAAATTTCACAACATTTCTGTTTCTAACACATTGACTGAGATCTGGTCAGATGGCCACTCCTATCTGCAAGGGGGAGCTGGGAAGTATGTTTTAGTTGGCTGCACTGACACCCCGAATAATTGAAGGAGGGATATATCGGGTGGTCATTGTGGGTCAGCCTGCCCTCAGTCCACTCCTGACTCCACTACCTACGGGCTGTATTTTTCCAGGACAAATCACTTAACCTCTCAGAACCTCGGCTCTTTCTCCAATTTTAGTATATGTGCTGCCGAAGCGAGCACCCTCGGCTCTTTCCCTATAAAACGAGGATTGTAGTAGTTCAGAGCCAGCTGTCTCGGTGTCCCCAGGACTGAGGGACTGTCCCGGGCATGGACCAGCTTGGTCTCCCTAATGGCAGTGCCAGGCTGTGGGGTAGCTGTTGTGGAAGGAATGCACTGAGCTGCCGTGTGGTATCCTCCCTGGCCTCGGGAGATGCTCCCTGGGTTAGTTTCTCTCCTCCTAAGCGGGGGACAGGGTGTGTCCGGGCGAAGCGGGGCCCCTCCAGGGTGCGCCTGCGTGCGAACCTGCCGACGCCACGTGCCTCCTTCCAGCCGTACCGGATCTTTAACACCTGGCTGGGGGACCCGTCCAAGAACCTGCTGCTGGCCGAGGTCATCAACATCATCAAGCGGGAGGACCTGCTGAACAACGCGGCCCGCGCCGGGAAGGTCCTGCTGACGGGGCTGCTGGACCTCCAGGTACCCCTCCCGGACCCCCACCCATGGTTCCCCACACACCCCCAGGGCAACATCTGAGCCTCGTTTCCGTGGACCCCGCACCACCCCCATCCCCGGCTCCTGAACACCTGGCTCTCCTCTGACACCAGGTTCCGACATCTGTCATTTGAGAACCCTCGCAAACACGCCCCACTCACAGCGTCCCCGATGCGTCCCTCTTCCCTTGTGGGTCCCGTCCTCCATGTACTCCCCCCCCCCACCCCGCAAGCAGCGCTGTGCAGTGGGAGACTCTGCAGGCCTCCGAAGTGACTTTAAATGTTCTAGCAACCAGACTGAAAGTACAAAAGGAAGCAAAGCTAGTGATAATGTAGTTTACTTTAACCCCTTCTATCCGTACTACGATTTCAGCCTGCCGCCAATGGAGGAAATAATTAATGTGGTTTTTCACGTTCCCTGCTTTTTAAAAATTTTCTTAAATGTTTATTTACTTTTGAGACAGAGACAGAGACACAGCATGAGCAGGGGAGGGGCAGAGAGAGAGAGGGAGACACAGAATCTGAAGCAGGCTCCAGGCTCCGAGCTGTCCGCACAGAGCCCGACGCGGGGCTCAGACTCACAAACCGCGAGATCGTGACCTGAGCCGAAGTCAGGTCAGACGCTCAACCCACGGAGCCACCCGCGTGCCCCCATATTCCCTCGTGTGCACCTCAACTTGGACTGGCCACGTTTCAGGCCACGTGTGGATCCCGCATGGGACAGCATAGCTCTCAGTTATAATCAGGTGTCTTCGTAGTTTTATTCTGTCTGCCTGACCTCCCCCCGCCCCACAAATCACCCCAACCCACACGCACGCCTGACTCTCCTAGACGGGGTGTGAGCTGTCGGGAGCCATGGTGCTTCCGGGACTGGCCAATCCAGCCCAGGAGTTGGAGGACAGATGACCTTCTTCAGATGGTTACAAAGAGTCCTTCTGCCGGGGATCTGGAGGATCCCATGACCTGAGCAGAACCGCCAAGGGGTGGTGACAGTGGTTGGCAATAGTAACAGCTTCTAATTATTGAGTGCCTGCTGTATGCCCTTGCCCGTACCAGGGGCTGTCATACACTCGGGTTATGTCCGGTAGTGATACTGCGAGTGTAACCCCTGTTGTCCCAATTTTGCAGATGAGGCATCTGAGTCATGGAGCGGTTACTAGCTTGTCCAGAGTTACATGGCTTCCATGTGTGGCCTTCGGGTTGGAACCTGATTCTGGTGGACTTCAGAGTCCATGTTCTTTGCCAGCATTTACCTCCCTGATGTGATCAATGACCTAGTAATTATTATTTCCATTAATTGAGAACTTGCTAAGTCTGAGGCCAGGTAGGGGTTGGGGAGGGGCAGGCACAGGACATGGTTCCAGACACAGAGCAGTGGCAGGAGCTCTGGGGACAACGCGCACACCCCAAGATAGGGATGCCAGATTTAATGAATTACAATACAGGGCTCTCAGTTAAATTTGAAAAACGGCAACGGATTTTTTTTTTTTTTTAGTATATCCTGTGTGCCATTTGGGACATACTTATACTACATTATAAGTTGTTGATCTGAAATTCAGATTTAACCGGGTGTCCTCTATTTGTTCTGGCACCCCTAGCTCAGAACAGTTTGAAATTAGGAAAACATAATTATCCTCATTTTCTGCACTTGATCTTAGCCCAAAGGCTGAGAAATGATGTTTATCCTCATTTTCCGGATGGGGAAAGGGAAGCCCGGGGAGGTGAGCAGCAGCAAAGAGGCCAGGCTTTAACCCCAGTTCCGCCTGATTGCAAAGACGCTGCAGGGGTCAAGTGTGGCTCTTAGAACAGCTGAGACCTCCCAGTGGCTGTGGGTGCGTGTGCTCTGCGTGGAAGTTTTTTCTTTCTCTTCTCTTGGTCTGGATTTACATTTAAACTGGGGGTTGGGCAGAGGCCAGGGATAAACGGCAGACGCGGTCGTCTGCCCCTGGGAGTGACGTCTTGCCACCCCAGCAAAGCGAGGCCCAGGGCGGACAGAGCGCCAGATATGTTTTCTTTGTAGGTCTCTTAAATGTCCCAATTAATGCCAGCCATCCTTGGTCATGAGAGCAGGTCCTGAAGCACCAGGCAACTCGAAAGGCCCTGGACTAAGGCCCCTGGCTTTGAAAAGGGGTGTGGATAGTATTACCCTAAGCGGCTTCCAGATGCGAGACGGTGCCACAGCTAAGGGTTCTGGGAGAACACCCCATTGCCAAGCCTGGCATGGTGCCTTGGGAGGCCCGACTGGTTCATCTCAAGGGATGCAAACGGTCAGGGGTCCCTAGCAGGGCCTTACAAAGCTACAGGCAAGGAGGAGTTCAGATTACAGGATCCCCTGAAAGAGTGGGTGAAAGAAAAGGATGGCTGTAGGGGTGGGGCAACAGTCAAGGCCCCGCCATGAGGAGGGGTGGGGAGGGAGCTCCACGTCCTGCACCGTTTAATCACGTCAGCGGCCACCAGACACGCACACAGGCGTGTGTGTCCGGGTGTCTGAACAGATGAGACCTTGTCCCCAGAGACAACGCTCTGGTTAGAAGGGAGGAGTATGTTCAAAGCGCAGGCTCCCAGCAATCAGCAGGGGCCAGACCAGAGGAAGTGCTGATGTGACTTCCGAGCCTCAGATCCCCCCCGCCCCGCGGACACCAAATAGTCCCTTCTCCGCTGGTGCAATGAGAATTCAAGACCATGCGTGGCACGTATATGGGCCTCTATTGCCACCAGGATGTGGCTTTGTCTCCACTTTGTACCACGGGTCTGCAGGGAGATGACCTTGGCCCCCCGGGCTCTGCCCCCACTGCCCTGAGATCACTTGGGCTCATCCAGCCCTGTTCATTATCCTTTGTGCGAATGATGGAGCGGAGAAGGACCACGAGCTTCCACACCAAGTGACTATGTTAGCTTCCTCAGGCTCTGGAGCACATGAGCACAAACTGGGTGGTTTAAACCATTCTTTTACTGTTCTAGAGACCACAGGTCTGAGATCAAGACAGCAGCGTGCGTGTTGACTCTTGCTGGAGGCTCGGGGCAGGGGTGGGGGAGGGCCCATGCCACGCTTCTGTCCCAGCTTCTGGTGGTCCGCAGGCCTTGGTGGCACCCAAAGGATTGTGGGTGCCCCTTTCCGGCCTCTGCCCCCAATGTTCCCCTGTGTGCCTGTGTCTCCGTCCAGATTTCCCTCTTACAGGGACACCTGTCCTTGGAGTTAGGGCCCACCCTCGTCCAGCATGATGTCCTCTTAACCTAATTGCATCCGCAAAGACTCGATTTCAAAGTAAGGTCACCTTCGTAGTGTCCAGGTCGACATGAATTTGGGGAGGGGGGCACCGTTCAGCCCAGGACAGCTCCCAGCCTCAGACCCTGCAGTGAGGCTGAGCTGCTGCTTCTAGAAGAAACACCGCTTTTCTAGAAAAGGAAAGTAAAGATGGCCAGTGTCTCCCAAGCACCTGCCGAGTACCAGGCCCGGCGCCTGATGCAGGAATCTTGTCTCACTAAATTCCCACTGTGGCCCATTGGGGGCAGTAGCATTTACATCCTTCAGTTTGCAGAAGAGGAAACTGAGGCTCGGGCCACTTACGTGACTGGCCCACAGGTGTCCAAGGAGAAAGAGGCAGAGTGGGTTTTGAACCCAGGACTGGAGGTCTCCAGGGCCCGAGCCCATGACACCACAGCCGTCCTGGCTGGTCCTGCAAAGGCCGGAAGGCCAGACCCAGGGGGGCATTTGAGGAAGCTCCCAGCTGCTGCATGGGTGCCGGGCTCTGACGCCGGCCTGTCTCCCCGCTGCAGGCCCGGTACCCCCAGTTCATCAGCAGGGTGAGAGGACGAGGTACTTTTTGCTCCTTCGACACTCCCGATGAGTCCATACGGAATAAACTCGTTTCAATGGCCAGAAACAAAGGTAAGTCCACCAGGAGCGGAAGCTGAGCTCCAGCAGGGTCCTCCCCACCCCGTCCCCCGTCACCTGGTGCGGGCGCTGTGGGGCAGGGGGCGGCAGGGGGACTGGACAGCGTCTGAGTGTTCTTTCTCAAAAGAGAATGTGGGCAGCGGGATTTCCTTATGCACTTATTCACTCGGTAGATACGCACTGAGAAGGTGAGTTGCAGTGACACAGGAGAGAATCGTGGTCGTGAACTAGACCGTTGGGGCCTTGCCTTCATGGAGCTCCCGGTCTAGCAGGAAAGGGGCATGGAAGACAGTTTTCATAAACCATCGGTTGCAGTTGTGCACCCTAGGAAGCACGAAAAGGGACTAAGGATGGAATAGCTGGGGGAGGTGTGGGGAGGAGGAAATCAGGGGAGGCTTCCTTGAGGAGGAGGCGTTTTACCTTAAGTGTAGCCGCATGAGCAGGGTTGGCCAGCTGAAGGTGGGGAGGGGCATGCGGGCAGAGGAAGGGATGGGTGCAATTACAGGAGGCAGGGTGGAGCCGACAGAGGTACGGAAGCCTCTGGAAAGGAGCGTGAGGAGGGGCGTGAGGAGGGGCTTCCAGGCAGGGAGGTCACAGAGCGGATGTGTGGCAGGCACTCTGCTCCGGGTCAGGATCCCAGAGGAGCAGGGGTAACTCACCTCCTGTTCCCCGTGAGAAACGGAGTTTCAGAGGCGCCCCGAGACCTTGACCAGGGCGCCTTTGAGATCAGCGGGTCCGTCCCTCTCGGGTGACGGTCTGCCCCTCGCACGAGCTGCCCGCCTGCACTTCTGCGTTTACCTGTTTGCCGCTTTCCGTCCCGGCTCCTCCACGAGCTCCTGGAAGGCAGGGGCTTTGCCTCGGGACTTAGGTCTCAGCGGGCCTCGCCCAGGGGCAGCAGAGCAGGTGTTGGAGGTGGGAGGGAGGGAGGGAGGCAAGGACAGATGGACGGACGGGAGGTGCCCCGCGTGTGGCTCTGAGCCCAGGCGGCTGACCTCCCTCCTTCGCCCGCTTTCAGGCGTGGTGCTGGGCGGCTGCGGGGACAAATCCATCCGGTTCCGCCCCACTCTGGTCTTCAGGGATCACCACGCACACCTGTTCCTCAACATCTTCAGTGACATCTTAGCAGGCTTCAAGTAAAGGAGCCATCTCCCCTGCGCTCTGAGAAAGCCCCGATCTCAACAGTTGTCAAATTGATTAGTTTGCCTAATTCATGTTTTCACTTAAAGGATCAGAGGCGAATGCGTGACCTGTAGGGTTCTTTGCAGGGAGGGGACGTCTGTGGTGGCTTGGGGGGTGGGGGGACGGGCGGGAGGGGCTGGCTTTGATTCTCCTCCCTGCAGAGCCAATGATGTACATTGGTGTAAGCCCAGAAATTCTGCTTGAGCCCTGGACGTAGTCTCAGGCAGGGCCATGAGGGTTCTGGCCGTATATCTGCCCACCTCGACCCCAACCGTTTCTTTGGAAGCCAGGCAAGGGAATGACAGCTGCTCCCGGGACTTTTGGGCTCCGGTCCCTCTCAAGTGCCATATTCCGTGACCGAGGATGCTGACACCCCTCGCCCTGGCAGACATGCTCTCCCCTCCCACCCAGCCCTGGAGCTCTGAGCAGGTGCCGTGCACAGTTCATTGACGGACGGGACAGATCGTACGGGGGCAGGAGAGCAAGGACATTAGGATTGAGCTGTGGTCTGGGAAGGGGTCCTGTGGCCTCCTTACGTACGACTGGGGCCACCCTGCTCGGTGCATCTGGGGACCCTCTAAATTGCGAATTCTGTCCTTGACGGGCTGTTGCCTTGGAGAATCTCTGTGCCATTACTGGCACTTCTTACTCCCCGACCCTCTGTTCCCCACACTCTGTTCCCTCTGTTAAGTGTGAACCCAGACGTCGGTGGCGGGGGAGAGGGGACGGGACTGCAGCCTGAGCATCCAAGGGGACACACAGGAGCTGGAGGGTCAGAAGCACAAGCCAGTCTCCCAGGAGCGGCAGAGCCAAGTCCTCCTGTCTCCCCGGGGCATCTGGGGTCTGACCTGTGGACCCCTCGCCCGGGGGGCTCTCTAGCTTCTCCTCACCCACCCCTGCTCCACTTGTGCGCGGCCCTTGCCGGACACCATCACAGGCAGTCAGTTGCTGAGCTAGGTGTCTTCCTCGAGAAGCACCGAGAACACTGGGTGCCAAAACTCCCCCAGAAACCAGATTGCCCGCTGGTTCAAGGTGGCATCCTCATACTGGCCACTCCAGAGGACAGCTGTTCCTGACATGAAAGAGCGTGTAGATTTCCAGGCGCAGGATACTGGAATGCTTAGTTGGCCTGTGGCTGAGGCTCAGGGGCCTCTTCTGGAGGCCAGGCATTCTTGGGACTCGTTGGACTTCAGATGCCCCTAAAAAGAGCATCTGGCTGTCCTGCAGCCGTGCAGACTCGGGAAGCCTGGCTGTCCTCCCGGCCCACCCCCTGCTGCCTGGCCGGCTGGCTCGGGACAGGGGCATATCAAGGTTCCCGGCTCGGCACTTTGTTCTTTCAATAACTAATCATCCAAAGACCTCAAACCGGTTGTTTTTTTTTGGTTTTCTGTCGTGTGTCAGGCTATCTGCTCTGCCAGGAAAATGGAGGTGTCCGCCCCTCTCTCTGCGGGATGCCACTCGTCTGTTCACTCGTCCCTTTAACCGGTCACTCCTTCATGGGACTGTCCTTATGTACCTGCTCTGCCCCAGGCCCAGTGCAAAGCCCTAGGAATACAGAGGGGAAATACAACATGGTCCCTCCTCTCGAGGGACTCACATGTTGTCGGGGACAACAGACTCTTAAGTCAGTAGTCAAAGCAGAGGGGCAAGTGCTGTGCCGAGAGGAATGTACAGGACGTCAGGAAATCAGAGGGAGTGTCCGCCGGGGGCGGGGCTTTTCAGGGGGAAAGTGACCTTTGAGCAGGGTTTTGCAGAACAAGCAAGAGTTCTCCAAGCAGACAAGGCAAGGAAGAGTGTCACAGGAAAGGGAACACACTTTCAAAGGCACCTCAGCCCACAGTCTCGCACCTTTCACTGGGGATCCAGATTCTCAATATCCCAAGGCAATATCCCAAGATTCAAGGCCTTATTTAACAAGCCAGATGCAAACCAAACCATAATTCATTTATTGGCATAAGGACGCTTTCTCTGGAGAACTTTAACGTTGGGTACAAACATCCAGTAAGGTTCCTGGGGTCCCAAAGGTTTCCGAGCCAGGGCACGACCAGAAACTGGGCTCTCTTTGGTGGGGAGAGTGGCCATAGACATTTTGTTCTCTCCCACGGGGCAGTCATCGAGGAATGAAATCGTTTTATCTGGGAAGTCATGTCCAGACTTACTCCGTACCAAGGGAAGTTACTTCCCGTGAAACTTTTTAAGCCATTTATCAACACGTTCTTGTTGGCTCAGGGCGTATTCGGAGTTCCTGAGGCATCTTCTTTTCAGGGTGGGGGTATAGCTGGAAGGGTTTCAAAGCAGAGGACTCTCGGCAGGGCTCAAGGTAGAAACTATGGAGAGGTGGGTAACAACGGGGAGCCCGGCCGACAGGTTGCTGTCCAGGGCTGGGCCCGCGGAGTGCTTCTGTGGCCGACGGTCTGGGAACGAACCCATCTCCCATCAGTGCTGTAGACTTTAGTAACTCTCTCCAGCAAGTCTTTTACAGAAAGCAAGGTCCTGTAATAGCAAGTCTTAGCACATCCTCACTTTTATTGTAAATGTTTTTTTTTATAATTTTTACTGACAGTAACCATGCAAAATTGTGCACATTAAAACATCTATGTATCTATACCTATCTCTATACATATATATATAAATGTACACATATATCAGCTCATGGTAGAGAAGCATAGCTAGGGAGCACCGCCCACTAATGCATTCAAATCTTGTTTACAGTATTCTGTTGACAGTGCGAATAAATGATAAAGAAGTTAACGTGTCACAATGTAACTGATGACCATACGCACAATTCCGTGAAATTAAATGTTTCCTGTGTTAATCAGTATTCTTAAATTTAAAAAAAAATTTATAATGGAAACAGAGTGAATGTGTCCTTTTTGGGTTTGGAAACAGTTTTGTTAAATAACTGTCTGACAAGCACACATTAAGCACCTACTCTGTACCTCTTAGGGAGGTCTTGGGGGGTTATACTCTACCTGCCCAAGTCTGCCTGGACTCAGGACATACTGTGAGGCCATTATTTTCACCAGGCTTCATCAAGGACTTACCATGTGACGGGGGCACAGGGATGGACAAGGCGTGGTCCTTACGCTTAGCTCATCTTTGGTGGGGCAGAGGTCACAGCGACACGGGCAGACCCTGGACGCTGCACATTAACAAAGGGCGGGCCCCGAGCTGGGGTGGAAGTTGGTCCCTGAGTTTCATCTTCAAGGTCAAGCAGGAACTGCACCAGTGACTCGGAGGCAGGATGAAGGGCATTCCAGACCCCGGACACAAAGGCACGGTGAGGGCAGGCATCCCAGGGTGTGGATCAGAGAAAGACCACAAGAGTCAGAGACCAAAGAAACAGGCAGGACTGGGCCCCAGAGGGCCTTTGGGGCCACACTGCGAGGCAGGGGATTTCCACGCAGGGGTGCGGGAGGTGCAGGTTCGGAGCAGGGGGGAAATCCAACATGCCGAGGACATGAGGGATGGAGAGACTGACACACCAGTCAGGAGTGTCTAGGACCCAACCTGGACGGGGACCATGGGCTCCTGCTCCCAGCTGTCAGTGACCCCCGTGTGGCTCTGACTTTTCTCACCTGCAAATTGCATGGTTTGGATTGCATGGTTTCCCAGGTTCCTTCCACCGTGGACACTCAACGCGTCTATAAGATTATTGTCAAAGGCAAGGTTTACTATTACATGTATTGTTTAGGGGCACCTGGGTGGTGGCTCAGTCAGTTTAGTGTCCGACTCTTGGTTTCGGCTCAGGTCATGATCTCACAGTTTGTGAGTTTGAGCCCTACGTTGGGCTCTTTGCTGACCCTGGGATTCTCTCTCCCTCTCTCTGCCCTTCCCCTGCTCGCTTGCTCTCAAATAAATAAACTAAAAAAAAAATTTTTTTTTAAACAAAACAAAACGTATTTTTAAAACAATCACATATATGGGGCACCTGGGTGGCGCAGTCGGTTAAGTGTCCGACTTCAGCCAGGTCACGATCTCGCGGTCCGGGAGTTCGAGCCCCGCGTCAGGCTCTGGGCTGATGGCTCAGAGCCTGGAGCCTGTTTCCGATTCTGTGTCTCCCTCTCTCTCTGCCCCTCCCCCGTTCATGCTCTGTCTCTCTCTGTCCCAAAAATAAATGTTGAAAAAAAAATTTTAAAAAAAATAATAGTCACATATAAACGGGGCGCCTGGGTGACTCAGTCGGTTGAGCGTCCGACTTCGGCTCAGGTCATGATCTTGTGGTTCGTGGGTTTGAGCCCCGCGTCGGGCTCTGTGCTGACAGCTCAGACCCTGGGGCCTGCTTCGGATTCCGTGTCTCCCTGTTTCTCTGCCCCTCCCCCTCCCCCGCTCGTGCTTCATGTCTGTCTCTCAAAAATAAACATTAAAGAAAAATTTTAAATAATCACATACAGTAACAATTATCGTTTGTTGACCATCTCCTATGTGCAAGCATAGGCTGCAGGTGCTTTATAATTTTCATGACAAACCTATGAGCTGTGCCTACTTTTTTTTTTAATGTTTATTTTTGAGAGTGTGAGTGGGGCAGGGGCAGAGAGAGAGGGAGCCACAGAATCCGAAGCGGGCTCCAGGCTCTGAGCTGTCAGCACAGAGCCTGACACGGGGCTCAAACCCATGAATCATGAGATCATGACCTGAGCTGAAGTCGGACGTCTAACTGAGCCACCCAGGAGCCCATTGTGTGCTTACTTGTAAGATGAGGAAACAAGCTCAGAGAGGTTGGGGGAACCCTCCCAACCATTCAGCTCAGGAGCTAGGATTTGAAACGCAGACGTAGGAAAGATGGCATACTAGCATATCAACAGATGCGTGTGTATGTGTGCACAGCCAGCCTGGGATCGGGTGAGGGCAGGGGCTGTCCTCCACCCCAGGACCTTTCTCACAGCCAGCCTGGCCGCCAGACTTGGAAGGTCCATCTGAACTGGTCAACATCAGTGTGAGCTCTTAGCATACCTTCTTAGAGCCGGTGGGTGATTGGAAGGCACCAAAACCTCAAATACTCCTCGTTACAAATGGTCACTGTGGGGCACCTGGGTGGCTCAGCTGGTTGAGTGTCCGAC